ATAAACTAATTCATGCGCGCCCCCTACATGAGGGGTACACAGTGGCAGTCGTAATTTGGGACGGTTTGGCTGCCAAATTTGAAACGAGGGCTAAGCATTTCGGATAAGTAAAGCTCGAGAAAGTGTCCCCTTAGCTTAAACTAACGCATATAGGCTGGAAAAACTAGAAATTGTGGTACTTAGTTAGGCCACAGGTACAGCTATCATCATCTAAAGATCAAGATCATAGGCATCGATAGAACAATGTTGGAGGTCGCCCGTTGCATTTCACGAGTAAGCCGTAGTTGTCCTTGTTGACAACGAATTTCAGGTAAGACGCTTTCAAGTTTTGATATACTAGGAGGCGGACACAACACAATGGGCAGACCGGAGGATAGGAAACGAAGTTAAACTGTAACGTACCAGAAGGTGTAGATTGTCGACCAAATGAGACACAAGACCAGAAAAGTAGGCACCCAGACGACAGCGGCCAAGCAGTCTGAAGGTCACTTTCCGGATCTCCTGTTCCGGCAACCGCAGCATAACCATGTAGGCGATCATATTGTGAAGGAGACAGGCCAGAATTCGGTCCTCTTTCAGCTCCAGAAGCTTCTTTTCCGGCTGGGAGAGTTTGGAGTACTTCTTTAGCATAGAAGTTGCTGAGTGATCCAGACCTGCGTTTGTAGTAAAAAGATCTCTCTATCAGTCTCTTAGCCGCAATAGTTTATTCATAGAAAACAGTATCGAGTGAAATGGGTGTTGAGAGAAGTTTTTTGAAACAGTCCTTCGAAGAAAAAATGATAATAAGTTAAAATAAGTGTTCCAAAGTTCTTAAAAGTTTGTTGGTTATTTGGGGCAGCGGCCGCACGGGTCACGGTCTTACGTCGGAATAATCGAAAAGCGGAGAGGGTTGAAATTGTAATTGTGGTAAATCTGTGACCTAAACCGTTTGTTAGACACTGCCGAATTGCCGACTTCATAAACAAAACGGAAGTTTACGAGCCCCCAGTCCATTAGGCAGTGCAATGACCTCCCCAATGCATATTCGTTGTTGAGACCCAGTTTGGCCAAAGCATTAGCTACTCGCTAAGCAAAGAGACAAACACAGTTACCAACGCCAATGCTAGCGAGTCCGATGGCCGGGCAACAATCACGCTAATATCAGCCAGGGGCGATGCAATTTACTCAGGCAATGACCCCCATATCGGAAATTAAGCAACCAGGGCAGACCAGAATACAATCGTTATCGATAGGTATGCAGTAGCATAGAGGCTGCATACTATTGAATACTCCTACTGTCTGTGTAGGCGCGTACCCTTAGCAGATGCGGTCTCTGAAGATGGGTTCAGGCTAGAATCCTAAGGAAGTTCTTTTTCTAGCTATAACGTCTCGTTCTCCTTCAGTACTTCCTGAGACTTGTACCTTCGCTAGTATCGGAAAAATTAGACATTTTGAATGCGTAAAATCTTAGAAAGAATCATTCGGTAAAAGAAGTTTAAGCAGTGGGCCTTATATACCCCAAGCCGACAGCATTACGTCGTATGGGACCGGTTTTTTTAGATTCTTTTTGGGTGGAGGTATAGGATAGGTAGTAAAGAAAATTTGCAGAAGTGAGTCTAAAGTGGTAAAATGTAGTTGACTTTGCTTACGACGGCCTCTATGTAGCTACAAATTAGAGCAAGCAAATCGAAAAAAAATGAGCAAAAGACAGCATTTAATAAATAAGTGGTATTTGAATAAACAGTCAGGCGTCAATTTGTGACAGTTCAGGAACCAGTGGGATTAATAGCTAAAATGTATACAGTAGTTATTAAAGTATATTCTCGAATTCTAGTATTCCAGCCTGATCCTGCAGCGCACTGATTAAAACCACAAACGAAATGTGCCTCACAACTATTCAATTGCTTCTACAACATCCTTTCACTGCCTATCCTATTTTTCCCACTCATAAAACCCCTATTAACACCGCCCCCTAGGACAGAAAGTTGGGGTTAGAGGTACATAAGTCCCATTACTTAAACTAGTTTTGCGGTTTACCAGTATTTACATATGAAGTAATGACGAACTAGAGGTCGTGGGAGACACAGCTATATCCTCCCTAATTTTAATCGAGCACACCACATGCCTCTCTGGCAGCAATATTTGATCGAAGTTCAGAGTTACTCTACACATGATCCCCTTGAGCGTGATGCAGAATAAGAGAATACATATCACATGCTTAGGTAAAAGAAGTCCTTAGGGAAAGAGTACTTTAATGTGTGAATTTTCGACTCTGGTTCCCCAGTTCGTC